ATTCACCAGCATTGGATCCTCAGACCCTCTTCCTTTCTCCCTCTATGGACTTTTTTGCACCACATCCAATTTGTGATTTCTATTACCTGAGATTTATAGAGCATATATATCCGTATAGACCATATATCCAATTCCACATAGGACTTTCCCACTTGAATATACAATAAGCAACTCAAGCTTAGTACTTCTAAAATTAAACTCATCATCTTTCCACCAAACTCCTCTCTTCTTGTCATATCACCTTTGTCTACCCATGTCGTCCTTGAAGCTAGAAGCCTGGGACATGTTTTGAGTTATCCTTCTCATTTATCAATGTCCATTTTCTCCCTCTCTTTTTTTCCAGTCTCCCTAATTTTGCTCTAATTGTTATAATTAATGTCTTTTAAGTATTTGCATGTGCCAGGTACTGATTTAAATACATTACATATTTTAACTCCTTTAATCTTTAAGTAACCCTACTATTATTGTTGCTCCCACTTATGGATAAGGAAATCAAGGAACACAGAAGCAAAATAACTTTCCCAAATATCATACTGACTGGCAGAGGAGGAGACTCAGGCCCGGGAACCAAGATTCTGGGATCCCACAGTTAAAAGAAACTGCAAGGCTCTATAGGAATATTGGTCATCCTTTATCTGGTGTGGCAATAGCCCCTAACCAGTCCCTAAGCCATTTACATAGGCCCTTTTTATATGCAGGTCAAACAAAGAAGGCACACTGCCAACAGGTTACAKAAGAAAATGTTATGACCTTGAGTACGTATGTTAAATCAAAGTGTTAATGACCTTGACTACACACTAACCATAACAACTGATTCGGGACCTTGACTACATACTGAAAGCTTCTGTGAGGGAGCCTAAGCCATTTTTTGCCTGCCTCAACACGCACATTAAATAAATAATAAAACCAGGATTTGAACCAAGGCAATGACTCTAGAGCTGTTTTGGTTTGTTTGTTTGCTCATATTTGTTGCTGTGGTGGTGGTGGTGGTGCTGGTGGTGGGTTTTGGCAGTGCTGGGGATCAAACCCAGGACCTCACACACATTGAGCMCATGCTCTTCCACTGAGATACACCCCCAATCTAGAGCACTCAACTGCTCTAACTTCCGATTTTCACTGTCACTGTTTATTTTATTATTACGGAAAGCTTCTTGATTAGTTTTTCTTCTCTAGTCTCACTGACTCCTCTTCCAAAATTTCATTTCTCTCGTGATATTACACCATARAAATCTTTCTAAGATGCTATCTAATCTTGTTAGTCTGCTGCCTAAAATCAGTGCTTCCCTATCACCTTCAGGCTCAAGTTGCAATTCTTTAATGCTACACATGCTACTTCAGGATCTGCCACCTCTACAGCTTCTTCTGAAACTCTTCACAGACGTGGAGCCACCCAGCCATACCAGAGCACTCAAAGTTTCTGAACACACTTTCCCCCTCCTTCCACTCCTTGTTTWTGCACTCACTCATGACTCCTACCAAGGTCAGGTTGTTAGGAGAATAGCTCCACGATTCCCAAGGGTTGAATGGGTGCCCCTTGGGTTTTCCGGCTCTATTATTGTCCTTTTCACACAGCATSGTAAAGGTAAATGTACTCTTCTCTCTCCTTTACTGGCCTGAATAACTTTTTTGAAGGAAGTGTAGGTTCTTTGTGTCTGGAGTACCACCGTTGTGCTTGGTGCAAAATCATTACCCAGTAAATCATCAAATAAAGATGAACTAAAGAATGTGACTGCTTCCTTTTCTTTCATGATGTTTTCCTAAACAAAGCCTAAAGCAAGGAGATCCCTTGAACATGCAGAGGAAATGTCTCTTGGAGTGGTTCACAATAATACAGAGGCCACATTGTCCGATATGGCACTTCTTAGAGATGGACAGGAGGGTCTGAAGGAAAAATAGGTGGTTTAAGAAAAAAAAAACATGCATATATTTACCTCAGGAAAGGGGGCAACTTACAATTCAAGAATAGTTATACTGGGATATAGAATATGTTCAATATTTTTGGTGGTTGTTTTTAAGGGCCATAACTAAGGAATTTTAAAAGGGTGCCTTTGCATGGGGTTGCTTTCTGGAAAAGTTGATGCAAAAATTCTTGAGTTGCAAAATTTTTAAAAAGCAGAGCACAGCAGTTGCTTGTATTTTATAGGATTCAGGTGCCTTTGTGACAGGCAGTCAGAAGTGAAATTACCTTCACTGTTCTTGGTTCAGTCTGTTCTCTGCTCCTAATCATCCCTTCAAACCCACACACATTAGACAGAGCAGTTGTCCTTCACCACTAAAGAAAGGCAGCTGAGACTTATGTTACCGTGGAAACAGAWTCACTTTTTGCTGCAAGACACCTCGCTTCATCGGCACTATTATGAAGCAGAATACATTGGTAGGGCTGGGAGGAGAATCAAATATTCTGCCTGTCAGTGTTATACTCGGCCTTTGGGCGAATAAATGACTTTCAATTAGAGCATTTAAATATCTTTCAACTTTGATAATTATTATTAGAGCCCCAACAGAATTTTACTTGGAAAAGAGTAAAGAAATGGATTCTGTTGTTAAGGGGAGAGTTAGAAATTCTTTTAAACTGGAACACATCTGTTAAAGAACATACGAGGGAGTTGGCAATTAAAGGTGTAATTGTTTGTAAAATGAGTGACTTTGTCTTTGTTTTCTGGCTTTCTGATTTGATCAAAGCATGGGTTTCTGAGTCTGTTTCTCTCTCTCTCTCTCTCTCTCTCCACACACACACACACTGTTACCTTGTCTGTAGTAAATATAACATATTTGCAGCTTCATCTTGTCTTACAATGTGTGTCCTGGGATCCTTTGCTCTTGACTGGCCACAGAGCCTCCCTCCCAGTCTGTCACTCATTCCTATTTGGGGCCTGAATTTCCTCCCCAGCCAATATCTCCACTCTCATCTCTTCATCTTGTGCCCAACCCTACATTCATTTGCTGTCCTATTTTATTTTTTATCTTTTTGTTAACTGCTTTATTTCTTATTGCTTGTGTTGCTGTCTTTTAAAGGCAAATCTATAAGACCTACACTGGTAGAAGAATCAACTCAGTAAAATCCCACAAACAAAACAAGAATCCCTCACCCCTTGAGCTCCCAAGATGCTTGCAGTCATTGAATTGTCTTTACAAGCCACACAAAGCATAATGAAAACAGACACTCAGGATCTTCTCTCTCTCTCTCTCTCTCTCTCTCTC